TCATGGGCCCCCGAACCATAGACAAGGCCATGACGAATGATTACTGATTACTGATACACAAGCCAAGCCCAACCCCTTACCTACCACCCCAGCTTTGCCTCTCCTCCCTCTACCCCGGACCTCGGCACCACCCAAGCTTAAACTGCTTGAACTTTCTTCACCCAACCGACCAACCAACTTACTCGCCCGCAAACCGAATCTAAAGCATAATACAACGTCAGACCTCTCGCACCTTTCGCAGCCGAACCACCGAACCCCCCCCCCCCCCACGGAATCCCAAAGGCCATATAGCTTTTACCTACTGTCTTCTTTGACTAGGTGTCTTGTGTCTGAAATTGCGAAAATTGCGAAAATTATCGGCGACTATGGCTGGGGGCAAGATTACGGGGTATTTGGACTGCGGTATGTTTGACTTGTTGGTGTGGATGATGACGATGATGACGATGATGATGCGAGACTGGGGTGTAGGTGCCGTACCATGTACAAGAGGAGACTAACGACGAGAATGTGTTAGTCTCACCATACTCGTACTTTGCTCTCTTATCTCTTGACAAGAACCGGGCGCTGCTTGAACGGCATGGTGTGGAGATTGAGTAAGTGTTGCATTCTTCCCTCTTCCTGCAAAAAACAAATGGTTTCTGCTGCGTCGACATCAACCGCCAATTCGTCTTTGCCAATCGATACTGGGCCAAATAGCATGACAAGACATCCTAACGGCAATATGCAGCATAATTCCCGTCTTCCTGGGTGGCATCAACGTCGGCAGCGGCACGTCTTTCCTCTTCTTTTGACACACATCCCCCAATCTATCCTGACACCCCGGGCACAGGGAATAAGCCGCCGTGGACCCTACCTGCAAAGGGGGCCTACAGCAGCTACGACAGCGCGCGGGCGAAGCGCTACTTTGGCGTACCCAATGTCCAAACCCCTTCTTTCTTCCCAATCCTATCATTGCTGCCTCAGCGCGCACTAGGCTACATCAAAGAAGCGCATCCAGACAAGTTCATCAGTGTCTTCTTGAGCATTTATGCGGCCATGTGGCAGGACGGGCAAGACGTTAGTAAACCCGAGCTTCTCTTCCAAATCCTCCACCAGCACTTCAGCGATGCAGAGGTGGACAGGATCATGAAAAGTGCAAAGACTGCGCCATACAAGCAACTCCTAAACGACAAGACCAAAGAAGCCCTCGACCGCGGAGCCTTTGGCTGTCCATGGTTCATCGTGCGCAACGCAAAAGGAGAAGAGGAGCCTTTCTTTGGTAGTGACAGGTACGCCACCCTCCACCCCATATCCCTGTCCTGTCACTTGCCAAAAATGCCCCGGCTACAGACGGCCCATCCCGCTGTCAACCTGGTCCCGATGCATGGAGATTGACTGCCGTCGCGGAGGTGGGCCGGGCCATGTTGAGTTGACACCCCCACGCGAACTATGAAACATGCCGAACGAGACAATCCAGAAGTGGGGATCACTAACAGGTACTGCTCTAGGTTCCACTACATGTGGGAGTATCTGGGGTTGCCCTGGAAGGACATTGAGTTGCAGCCGCCAGCGAGTGTCAGGGCAAAGATCTGATGTGCATGCGAGTCAGCACGTGGTCTGGGATTCCTGACAGAAGATCTCGCTGGAATTGAAGGGACATGGCAGAGGACGCCACTATGCTCCACTCGCGCTCGAAATCAGAGATTCCATAGTCCTGCAATTCGTTAACATGGATACTCTCTCTCCAGAAGCCATTCGCCATCTTCTCAAAGTGATCTGTCTCTGCCAGATCATATTAAGCTCTCCCGCGGCCTACAGCTTGCATATGTTCCCACCGTCGTACCATCTACCTGCTGCACCTCTGCCGTTGCGTGCGACTTGCGACCAAGTATGGTTGGTGCTCTCGGGACACGGGTGCCAGCTTCCCCTGCTAATGCAAAATAAAAAGTGCACAATAGAGTAAGGTCCTGAAGTCGTCTAGTCCCGGCAGTGGCGTGCAAGGCGCTGTGACTACGGTTTACACGATCTGCTCTGCGGTCGCGCCACACAGCTTGGTCGTACCAAACGCGGTGGTCTGCTGGCATGGCGAGGCGAGTCGAAAAAGACAAGGTGAGCTTAAAAGTGGATCGTACCATGGCCTGTAGCTCATGCAGAGATGTTGAACCTGGAGACTGTGAGCCAATGAGAGACGTATCAAATCGAGTGATAGGAAAGCTTCACCGCTCAGCTACCTGTCCGCTACCTGTCCGCTACCGCTTCTCATAGTCGGTGATTGACCGACATGTAGGGCCTGCATGATCTCGGAGAATAATTGGCAGCAACTAGGATCTTGATCAATCTCCTGCATGTGTAACGTTTGGGTATGCTTGGCATGGTTTATCCAACCACCACGACAGTGATGTCACCTAATCGAACCATCGTCTTTTGCCATAGGATCTGCGGAGAAGTTTTGTATATGCCACGATCTCCCGACCCGTATCCGACTGACAGCTCGTTCCAAGAGACGAGTAGGTTGCCAAGAGCTGTCATGCAGATAGCCGTCGTAGCTGTACGATAGCCAAACAAGACGACATGCGTACGTCTGGCCAACTCAACTAACACCAGAAAAGCAATCCGATGGGTTCCTACCACTCACTTTGATAGGATGCCAACCGAGGGAGCTGATGTTCCCAAAACGGCTGAGCATTTGCTGTATGCGCAAGCTAGCCACGTTGGACATCTGCGTACCATTGCCGTCACCATCTCTTTGCTTGTCAACGGCCATGCTCGTTCATGATGGTCTGCCTGCTTTGCGGAGCTACCAGATCTGACTTGAGGCCGGCTGGTCGGCTAGGCCAGCATCTTCCCCTGTCAGATACAGATTATGTAGGACCACAGGCCTATGGGTCTATCCGTGATCCTCGACCCGTCCTTGCGGTACCGCATTACATGGACATGGGAGGTTCAAACGCAAGCCCATGCACTTCGAAAAGAATGCTGCGAGTCGAGCCCTCAGAGATTATATACATTGCTCCAGCTCTCACTGACCTCTATACCTCACGCTAATGTAATTGTACTGCTTCATCTGTGGCTTCGGCTTCTTACCCTTTGCCAGTGCCGTCGACTTGTCACTCGCACTGTGCGTTTTGCTGTGCAATTATCGAAAGCACCCATCCCGCGAATCGCCTACACTGAGCTTTTACGTTAGTGTGTTTGTGCGTGTCCATGCGATCATAGCCTGCTTCTTGTAGCTTTCCTAATTGTTTCGACCACTCGCGGCGTCCTGGTAAGCTCCTTCACCGATTCCACTTTCAACTTAGCGTTACTGATGATGTGTTATTGATTGAGTCTTTCGCGTGGTCTGTCTTCCACGGTATAGATAGTGGGGCTCGGCTTGTGTCCTCTCCGCTCCTGTCGCCGCTCATTCACATTCACCTGACGTAACCTTGTAAGATTAGTGCTGTTCCTGACCCGCCAAGCCAAGACATCAGTCACCTCTGCTGGACGCGATCCTTCTATCCACCGCCTTAAACTGTGAAGCGGGTTGACTTCCATAAACGAATAAGCGGACATTAAAACTTGGATAACATCTCTCTTTGGTACAGCCCTCGATAGCTCACGAGTCTGGCTCACTTCCACTTCACGCTCGAAGAACCCGACATCGCAGCTGCTCACCTCATATTCACACAGCCTCGCTAGCGGTGCTGCAGTCCCTGTGACTGCTGTAAAAGGTGCGGTCCGCGCGTAGCGCGATGTCTCGACCACAAATACTCTGCCCTCAGCGCAGCTTTGGCCAAACACAAGATTCTCGACACCAGTTCCCTCTTTTGCAGCCAGGTGGACAATACACCCCGCACTCCTTTGGCCCTCATTCTCATCCTCTTCCTCCCCCTCAACAACAACAACACCTCCACAGCTTTGCAAACGCTCAATTGATGGCGCAGCAAGCCACCATGGTACGTCGCATGCTCAAGACAGAATACCGTGACCTGACATGTGTGAAGCAACAGCAGCATAGCTCGGAGGGGCTTGAGCAGCGTCCATCGTGGACCCAGCAACTGCTCCCGTCAGGTCTCAAATCATCCTTGGACATGACCGATCAAACGGTCCAAGCCTATGCCACGGGTGTCGACCAGCACTGGCGGAGCGTGTCCGGGCGCGATCAATCTAGCGCTTGGGATGACGCGCAAATCGTCTTGCCCGATTCAAATAGGCAGTTTCTTTGTAACGGCGACCTGATGTACAGTCCGGATGCCGCACAACACCTAGTTGCTCAGCCCCACAGCAGCTATGGTGGACAGCTTAGGTGGACAGCCTCTGCAATGCGTGGGGGTATTGCAGCCACTGGCCCAAACGCTTCCGATTTTGACTCGATCAACACGCTCTCGCCTCAGAGCTACCTGAGTGACGGGGCGGATATATCTTTCAGCCCTTGTTCGGTTCCTGATCAAGCATCTCTTCTTGGGGATTGGAGCGTCACTTCATCTGTGCCGATCAAGGAACCCTCGCCGCAGTATCCGTCATCTTTCTCACACCCGAGCCTTGCACTAGCTCATAACAACAGCTTTCGACAGTGTCCGGATACGGTTGGCCTTGCAGGTGACGAATTGAGCATCGCGACTTCATCTTCATCCACACGAGCAGGCCACTTGGCTCGTCGGCTAGTTACTTCTCTCACTGATGAGCATCAATCCAGTTCTGAGGGCTCGCTTGCAGCCGTTGACGGCTCCAAATCATTGTGGTATATGTCTGCTTACTCCACCCCTCGGTCAGATGTGAGGTTGATGTATGAGAATGCCCGCGCTCATAAGGCACAGTCTGGGAGTAATGTCAATGCGGCTTCCACAAGCATTGCTTCCTTCTCTTCTTATCCATCGCTGTCAGGGACGGGTTCTCAGGATGTTCGTCATGTTCAGTCGAACTATCAGGATCGCTTCCAAGCCCCTCGATCTCCAGACGTGCAAACACAGCGACAGCGCAATGACGAGCTGCTCCTCCAGGGAAAGCAAGACGGATTGACATATCGAGAGATCCGAAAGAAGATGTTGGGCGAGAAGCCTGCCGAATCGACTTTGAGGGGTCGGTATCGTTCATTGACCAAGGCGCGTAAGGATCGTGTACGAAAGCCAGTTTGGCACCGGCGCGATGTGAGCATCCTGATTCTTTCTTTCGAGAAGAGCCCTACTGACTGATTGCTAGATCGAGCTATTGAACGGCTTCGTCGGCGGGGAACTCGAGCGCATCGAGAAGTCCCTTTCCAACCCGAGCGCGATGAGCGTCGACCAGAAGCTCATCAAGGTACGCTGGAAGGAGGTTGCCGATTACATCCAGGAACGGGGGGGCTCCTACCACTTCGGCAACTCGACTTGCAAGCGCAAGTGGTTAGAACTCAATTCTTCTGCAAAGTAGACTTCTGTTGGCATGACCTCTGGAGTTGACGCTATTTGGGATTTGTTGGGACTAGGCTCCTCCTTGGGACGGCGTATTGTTCTATACCAGGCACCATATTGCACTTGTATTCCGTTTGGAGGTTGGACTTCTGCCTCCTTAGGCAGCCGTCGTCATTGAGACAGGCCATGCCAGACGTCGGCCGCTCACGCTACACACGTGTGAGCTATTTTCTTCGGTTGTGTTGATGATTGTCCACATTTGATCCGGACTTGGGCCTCTTGGGACCTGTGTTTCTGTGTATTGATGGTATTCTGCTGGGACTTTTGTATAATGATTTGTTTGTTGATCGGCTGGCTACTAGAAATGTCTTTTTGATTATCTAGATGGGAGGTTATGGTCAAAGGCGGCTCACGCGCCATGATCCAAGGTATGAATTCCAGGGGGATTGCACAGTACTATTCAGAACAATGGAAGATGAAATGAATGGCTTCATGATTTGATAGAGGCCTTGCTGGAGTGAAAGATGAGTGGTGGTGGAAGTCTGACGTTGGCTCACGGTTTACCGACATGGCGCTAACTTCAAGGAAGGAAGGCCCCTCCCCCCCTTCCCTGAGCCGCATTGCACCACCAACCACCAACCACCATTGATCCTGCATTGATCGGTGCGTGCATCGACAAACATGCTGCTTGGGCTCTCAGAAGGCCTCCCCAGCCTGGTCGAGGCAAAGTTTCTAGCAGCAAAGGCATCGGCAAGCTTGTTGTTCTCCCCGACCGAAGTCGCAATAATACGCACGTCGACTGGTATTCCTGTGAGTGTTTCCGGAACGAGACCACCATAATACCTACCTACCTGTTGTCCACAGCGCCTGTACCGTAACGTACCACACACATCCGACTCACGGGCCAACAGTTCCAACTTCGCTACTGTCCTACACTTGCAAAGAAACCCGTCCCAAAACATGCAGAATCTACACCCAGCCAAAAGATCGATCCTTTTGATAATCCTCCGGCAGCCCTCCACGTTGCCGACATTCCTGTCACAAACCCAAGTCATCTGCTTGTGCTGAACAAGTTCCCTATCATTGCTGAACACTTCATCCTCGCTACAAAGTCAAACAAAAAGCAAACGCATCTCCTCGAGCAAGACGATCTAGAGGCGACCTATGCTTGCCTTGAGGCATGGCGAGATGAATCCGCTAGCAAGCAGAAGCGTTTGTTCGCCTTTTTCAATTCTGGTGAACACAGTGGAGCATCCCAACCGCATCGACATGTGCAGTTCTTGCCACTGGAAAAGATGCGCGAAAAAGAAGCCGTCGGCAGCTGGGATCTTCTGATCGATACCATTCTGTCTGCCCCGAAGGCTGACCTGCAAGGTTCGTCGGCCAGGCAGTGGCAAATAGGGCGTAGCTAAGATTGCTTATAGGTGACTACGATGGTTTGTGCCAGCATCCGAATCTCCCCTTTTTACATTTCGCTCAGGCATTCGAGACTGAGCCATCAGGATCTCAATTGCTCCAGACCTACTCCTCCTTGTACAAAGCAGCAAAAGCAGCAACAGACGAATTCATCGCTTCAAGCCCCGAGCGACTTGCATTGCATTCTACTGAAGATGGCGACTCATCGATCAGCTACAATCTGGCGATGACTACCCAGGGCATGGTCATTCTTCCTAGACGCTGCGAAGGCACCCTGATTCACCACGAAGATGGCAGTGACGTTGGTTTTGTAGCACTGAACGGCACCACATTGGGTGGTACTCTAATGGTCAAACACTCGGCAGAATGGGAAGTACTACGCGAGAGACCCGGGCTACTCGACCATATCTTGTCAGAAATTGGCCTTCCACGACAGACTGTAGGCCCTAGGTCCCGAGTCTAAGACAGCCTGAAATATGTTGTCGCGCTACTGTTTCAAGGCATTAAATCTCAATTGCCTCAGACCTTGTCTTGTGCACGTAGAAACGGTGTTTTCCCAAGGTATACTTTACCGGAATTTCCAAGCTGTCAAGCCATAGGTAAGTACCGTATATGATTGAATTCATGTTATGTTAGTTTTCTCAATTTTGTGTGAGAGGGATACCGGTAAGTTATTGCCTGATGTGATCCTGGTGACGTGATCGATAAACCCGTGATTTTACTGTGAACCGAACAGTAAGCATTGCTGATGGAGAAAATTCTAGATGGATGGATGGTATCGCAGGTAGCGAGGCGGTGAACAGGGGAGCTCATTTGCGGGGACGTCTCGGAGGTGCCCAAGCTCAGCTCAGCGACATCATTGTCATCATCCGTTCGCAACTTCTAGCTAACCTGCACGGAACCGTCAACCACCTTTCTTCCCCACCAACGCGACACAACACATGCGAACGTGTCGCCATGCTCATACAAGAGATTCTGCACATCGAACTAGATCCGCCTGACTGACTTTACCGGTACCCCATCGACACTAGTTGGACTCTTGAAGAGCTTCGCCTTGCTACCTTGTTGTCTCGGTCGCCGCTTCACACCCACTACCTTGCCACTTAGCTTGCACCCGGATCGATCTACCTTGGGGCCTTGCACTAGGAAGACAAGATGAAATACACCGTCTACGACCGCTTGTTGAAGCGTGAAGTTGGCCAACAGCGCAAGAAATATACCGACATTCGTGGAATATACGGTGACCGACGGTGGATCGATGATCTGGACATTGTAAACGAGCTCGAGGGCCACAGTGGTTGTGTGAATGCTCTCAGGTAAATGACTATCTGATACTCCTAAGTCTAGAGAAACTGCGGCTGACAGCTTTGTAGCTGGTCCACATCTGGTCGTCTCTTGGCCTCAGGCTCAGACGACCATCGTATCAACATCCACGCATACCAGCCTGAATCTTCGACGTCGCAATTCAGCCTCACCACTTCCATCTTGACAGGCCATCGATCGAACATTTTCTCTGTGAAGTTTATGCCCTATTCCAACGATCGAACAATCGTCTCCGCCACCGATGACGTTCGCATCTTTGATATTGAACACTCCGGACACTCGTCCTTTGGCTCTGGCAGTACAAGGCCTGGTGCGAATCACCATAGTATGGGCATGGCACGGGACGGTCTTACACTGACTGAAGGCGACACCAACGCGAAGGCCTTTCGCTGCCATACAGACACAGTGAAGCGCATTGTCACCGAAGACAACCCATTCTACTTCCTGACGTGCTCAAATGACGGCGATGTAAGGCAGTGGGATATTAGGCAGCCATCAAGAGCGTATCCACCCGCCAAAGATAGCATAATTCCTCGGTGGGCTAGAGACGAGGACGCCTCTGACGACGTACCGCCACCGCTCATCTCGTACAGTCGATATGGTTTGGATCTTAACACAGTCTCCTGTTCGCCCTCACAGCCGCACTACATAGCACTTGGTGGCGCTCATCTCCACTGCTTCCTCCACGATCGACGCATGCTCGGACGAGACAAGAACCGAGAGCGCGGCTCGAGACTGTCCAGTCCCAACAACTGGACTGATAATGATGACGAACTTTTAGGTCAGGCCACCCAATGCGTCAAGAAATTTGCACCCTATGGCAAGCAGCGGATGAAGCGGAACGATAGTGGCCATATCACAGCTTGCAAGATTAGTGACGCCTACCCAAATGAGCTCATCGTAAGTTGGTCTCAGGACCACATTTACAGTTTTGATATATTGCGGGCTCCGGACGCGAGAGAAAAAGTCACTCGTACAAAACCAATGCGCAACGACTCAAGACAGCGCGTGAAGGAGCAGAACAGGAAGCGTAAGCGATCAAAGTCGGGTACATCATTGCAAGAGTCTGCAGAAAGAGCCGACTCAAGACAGCGAACAGAGAGCTCAGAGGACGATCTTGCGTTGCGTGTAACTTACGGCAATGGCCAGAGCGAAGACATCCGAATAGAGCCTCCCCGTGAAACCAAAATGTCGCAGGATGAACTGAACGACCTCCGCGCGACGAATCATTATCGGATCGCGAAAATTTCCATCAAAATTGCAAAGGGTATTTTCAATCTAGGCGAGCACGGAGAGGCCGGACTTAGTTTAGCATTGACTTCTATCCTTGGTCTTGCAAACTCGATACTATCAGAGATGGATGACATTGATCGCTCATGGGGGTATCCTCTGGATCCTGACCCTGTCGATGTCGCCGTACAGAACAGTCTCCGCGCCAAACGTGCATCGTCTCGCCGCTTCGTGCAGGCTGCTGGTACCCTTGCACGAGTCTTGGGAGGACAATTGCTCACGGGCGCAAATTCGGATGCACTCATATCCAAGTACTTCGCATCGATACAAGCATCTCCAAGGGAGCGGGATTTGCCTCGCCACGAGCAATTCGGTTACGATTTCCTCAAAGCGATCCTTCTATGGGTCGATAGCGGTCCCGGAGCCGTGATTGAAGGCTTTTCGAGTCGCAGTAGCAGTCCGCGTCATCCCATTCCGCATGGATCTGATATTGACGCCATCGAGGAATATCTAATCCCATATCTCCTTGATTTGGCCAGCGACGACCCCATCTTTGACGTTGACAAGTCTAGATTTGAAAAGGACGAGAACAGGCGTTTGTTTTCGACAGAACGAGAGGCTGTCAATGCGTTCGCGGCTGCCGTCAAGATACCGTTCGCGGATCTCGTAGAGACGCCTGAAGAAGAAGGCCAGTCTACGCAAGAACCTGTACAGGACCGGATCGCTGCGAGGAGAGAATGGGTATATCGCATCGGTAGGGGTGTTCTACGGAATGCGGCCAAGCATATCAAGTTTGCTTTTGTCGATTGCGCATATGGTGGGCGTGGGATGACTGGCCAGGAGACTAGAAAAGAAGAAGGGGCGTTGAGAGAGCAACAAGAGGAGATCGATTCTCAAACTGAATACGAAGAAGTCTTAGAGAATAATTCTGTCGGTGCAACCCGAGCACCTGTGAGCACGGCACCTGCTGTGTCATCATCGAGCTCTCCAGCAGCTAGTGGTTCAGGACGCGCAAGGATTGCCACGGAGGATGAAGATGATGACGAAGAGCATGACGATGACGAAGAAGATGAAGACGACGAAGATGACGATGACGATGACTGTGATGTTGAATCGGATGAAGACGATGAGGAGGACGACGAGGACGAAGAAGAGGAAGAAGAAGAGGACGAAGAAGGGCTGAGACGCACCGGAAGTGGTCGCATGCTCTGGCGTTCGGATTTTGCTCGAAGTCGTTTTAACCGGGAGAAGGTGGAGCTGGATGTTCCTTGTGCGCCGCATACAAGAGTGTATACGGGCCACTGCAATGTGAAGACGGTCAAGGATGTGAATTACTTTGGATTGCAGGACGAATATGTGGTCAGTGGCAGCGATTCTGGCCACGTCTTCATATGGGATCGGAAAACGGCTGAGCTGGTCAACATCCTTGAGGGTGACGGCGAGGTTGTCAACGTTGTGCAAGGTATGTGTTGGTGCTTTCATTCAATGTGCTAGATGCTAACAGGTTTCAGGCCATCCCTACGAGCCCACGATGGCAGTATCAGGTATCGATCATACCATCAAGATCTTCTCCCCCGACACACAGCTTCAGCGAAATGCTCGCAAAGGCGTGGGCGTCCATTCAGCAGACCCGGAGTCCTTTTCAAGTCTCAATTGGGGACGCCGCCGGCGGCCTCAGGCCCCAGCCACTGAAAATGAACGCCCAACTGAGACGGAGGCACTGAGCGATAGTGATAACGAGGTCGCCCCACATGGCCTTAGCAGTCGAAAGAGAATGCACGAAGCCTACCAGATCACGAGTAAGAACGATATGGACCGCAAGGGTGGACGTGACGACTACTTCATCTCACAAGCCGTGCTGGCACAGCTTGCTAGACACATGGCTGCACGACGAGGTGGAGGGGAGGGGGCGGATGATGGAGATGAAGGGCAGGGAGGCCCCATTGTGATCTCAGACGAGAATTGTACTACGATGTAGCGAATCTGCACGAAGCAAAAATGGCAGTCAGAGGGAAGCTAGTCATATGAAATAATGTATTACTACGACATGAGGCACTATCGCTATTCCTGTCTGATTCCCTCCTTGATGCGCCATGTCCATGGCCCATTGAATGTGTGTGTTTTGCTTCAAGTTTGTTTTGCATTATGACGCCTTCTTTTGCTTGGCCTTGAGAGCCTTCTTACGGTTGCTCCGTATCATGACAACGGAAAGGAAGCTGCCGACGACGGTGCTACCAAGGATGATGAGGATGACGGGGATGCGAATGGCCCATACTCGTGGAAGGAAGAGCGAATGAAGGAAGTGGTCTTCGTCGACAAAGGGCTACAATCCATGTCAGTGCGTGTACCTAGAATCATTTGCCCCAAGAGGGACTGCATACCATGAAAAGAGTCCAGACGGTGTAGTAGACGAAGACGACAGTTGCAGCGACAAGCATGCTGAATCCCACGGCGCGGTCGAGCTGTTGTGATATTAGCATTGACAGACTCGGATTACTATCGGGGATTATTTTTTCATACCATCTTGAAGATTGGATTAGAGTACAAAACTTCAGTTGAACGAGTGAAAGTGATCCTGCAGCTTTGTTGGCCGTCGCCATCACCTTGCTGTTCTGTCCCCTTCTCCCCAAAGCAGGGGCGCGTCGGCGAAACAACGGCCCGTCCCCCGAGTGGCCGGCCGCCGTAGTCTACCAGGGAAACTTTCTTGCCTAGGCGCGCGTTCCTCACCCTTCAGCTCGACGCTGTTCCTTTGTCGAGGGGGCCGCAATACAATACAGACATCGTCAACTCATACGATACGCCCTCAGGTTGCGATACGTGAGAGAAGACAGCCGCGATGATGGAAGTCGCATCTGCTGTTCGCCTGCCCTCGCCTGAGCCGGACCTCGAGACACAGGACCAACCGCGCAAACGCGAGCGCTCGCCATTCGATGGGCCGAGCCATGGGCCGCCCAAGAGGAGCAGGAGGGACGAGCAAAGCGACGATGAGGGTCGAGCCGGGCGGGGAAGAGAGAATGGACGGCGACGACACGACGACAACGACGACGACGACGAGGAAGGAGGGCCATCGCGTCGTCCACCCCCCAAGCCCACGACGGCCGATCTTCCAGCCGACGACTCGCGCATGAAGCTCTTCCAGAATGCCTTTAGCTCGAATCGCAAGCTCCCTGTCGATGACTCCAAGACACGTGCGGGAGGCGCATATATTCCTCCAGCGCGCCTGCGCGAAATGCAGAAGCAGATCACGGACAAGAAGTCGGCAGAGTTCCAGCGTATGGCTTGGGAAGCGCTGAAGAAGTCGATCCAGGGTCTGATCAACAAGACCAATACGGCCAACATTAAGATGATCGTGCCCGAGCTGTTCAGTGAGAATCTTGTTCGTGGCCGGGGTTTGTTCTGCAGGTCCATCATGAAGGCGCAAGCTGCCAGTCTGCCTTTCACGCCCATCTATGCTGCTATGGTCGCGATTGTAAATACGAAGTTGCCGCAGGTCGGCGATCTACTGACGCGCCGGCTGATTGTGCAGTTCCGCAAAAGCTTCAGGAGGAACGACAAGGCTGTATGTTTGGCGAGCACCATGTTCTTGTCGCACCTCGTCAACACCCAAGTCTTGCACGAGGTTCTGATTGCCGAGATCCTTCTGCTCTTGCTCAACAAACCTTCCGACGACTCGGTAGAAATTGCTGTTGGCATCATGAAAGAGGTTGGCGCTTTCCTCGATGACATGAACCCAGCCATCGCGAATGCCATTTTCGACCAGATGCGTAACATTCTTCACGAAGCCGACATCGACAAGCGGACGCAGTATATGATCGAGGTGCTTTTCGAGGTCAGACGGACAAAGTACAAGGATAACCCAGCTGTCAGGGAAGACCTGGATCTAGTGGAAGAGGAGGATCAAATCACCCACAGGCATACGTTGGAAGATGATCTAAAGGTCGAAGACGGTCTCAACATCTTCAAGTTCGATCCTGATTACGAAGAACATGAAGCAGAGTACCAAAAAATCAAGGCTGAGATTTTGGGAGAAGAGGAGGGTAGCGATGACGATGGATACACGGATGCCTCATCAGAGGACGAGGAGGATGAGGAAGAGAAAGCCATGGATGTCAAGGATCAGACCAACGCCGACCTAGTCGCTCTGCGCCGCACAATCTATCTCACCATCAAGAGCAGCGGCGGTTTCGAAGAGTGTTGCCACAAGCTCATGCGTATCAACCTCCCTCACGGCCTCGAAAGCGAGCTCACAACCATGATTGTCGAATGTGCCAGCCAAGAACGTACCTACGAGAAATTCTACGGCATGATCGGCGAGCGCTTTTGCAAAATCAACCGCATGTGGACCGATCTCTTCGAAGAGGGCTTCGCACACTACTACGAAACCATCCACCGTTTCGAGACCAATCGCATCCGCATCATCGCCCAATTTTTCGCCCACCTCCTCGCCTCCGACGGTATAAACTGGCACGTCTTCCAAGTCATCAAGCTCAACGAGGAAGACACCACCTCCAGTTCCCGCATCTTCATCAAGATCCTGTTCGAGGAGCTACTTGCCTCGTTGGGACAAAAGGCGGTTGTAGAACGCTTCAAAGACCCCATGCTCCAAGAGTCTCTCACAGGCGTCTTCCCCACCGACGCAGACGACCAGTCCAAAACTCGCTTCTCCATCAACTTCTTCACTGCCATTGGCATGGGCGTGCTCACAGAGGGCATGCGCGAGTGGCTCAAGAACAGTGCGCCCAAGCCCAAGCCCTTGCCCGAACCGGAAAGCGACTCCGAAGATTCAAGAAGCGTGTCGTCACGCTCATCCTACACATCGAGTTCCTACTCGCGCTCTCGATCACGTACGCGCTCTCTTTCACGAAGCCCCGTCCGCAGACGGCGCGACTCGCGTTCAAGTTCAAGAGGACGATCGTACACGCGCAGTCCTTCACCAGTGCGGCGCCGGGTTCGTGACCGCAGCGATACCTATTCCGCATCTCGCTCTCGCTCTCGCACACGCTCGCGCTCCCCCGCACCCCGTAAAATCGCATCCCGACGCGCTCGCTCCTACTCCTCCAGTCGATCCCGGTCCCCCGCCCCGCCAAAACGCCGTGCACGCAGCCCAAGCGATTCGCTCTCGCGCTCGCGCTCGCGTTCTCCGCCGCCGAAACACAGAGTGCGTAGTCTGTCCCGCTCGGTGTCGAGATCGAGATCGCGGTCTAGGTCTAGGTCTGCGCTGCCGCCGAGACGCAGGAGGTACTCGAGTAGTGTGTCTCGCGAGCGTAGTCCGCCAAGGAAGAGGCGGGGAAGTAGTAGTAGTCCGCCGGCGAGGGGGGACAAGGGTAAGGGGAGGGCGAGGGAGAGGAGTTATAGTCCTGACGGGAGGAGTCCGGTGAGGAGGGGAAGGAGGGATTGAGAGTGTGGAGGTTTTCCTCCTCTTGATAAAGATGGAGTGGAAAAAAAGACCATGATGGTGTTTGTTGGCTGAGCGGAGTTGAGCAAGTCAGAGAGACGATAGGGACTTGATTTTGCCACGTGTTGTAGTTTGTCCATTGTAGCATCTTTCGTATGGCTCGTGGCGTCAAGGTTTACAGGATTCCTCTGCCTGGCATTGAGTGTTCATCTCACCTGGGCGCACGTGTAAAAAATTCCATAGTTGTGCGGAAAATCTCATTCAATACACCTTTAATCATACATCAGCACGGGCAACAGCGTATCCCCAGACCCACAAGACTTCAAGACTTTACAGCAGTACACTCTACTTATGCCAGCTCGTGCACAGGTGGCGCAGATTCTACAATAGCGTTGTGTGGGGATGGGGTTGGGTGCGATGAGAATGTAAGGTGCGGGTTAGTTTAAGCAAGATATGGACTGGGGGGTGAATGCTTTTGTATTGAGATCAAGGGATTTGGATTTTGGTATAGTTGAATGAGGTGAGGTTTGAGGTTTGAAAGTGGAGGAATCCGAGTTTCCTACATCCCATACGGCTGTGCTGGGAAACATATAGGGGAAATTGTTTTATGTGGGGGATTCATGTGTAGTTGGCGGGATAGTTATATAATGATTTAACATTTCTTCTTTTCCTTCTGGCTCCTCTTTCACGCAAAAGCCAAACAACGAATCAGCCACAATTCTAACCCACCGACGTCGACACCACCACACCTTCCGCCACAACCTCACCACTCTCATCCCGTTGATGGCCCGCCGCATCAAATATGCCCTGCCAATTGGGCCAGACAATCATGCAGTGCGAGGGCGCATTATTGACAGCGCCACTCCAACGATTAAGCGGTGCATGCCTGGTCTTGGGGGCGCGCAGCCCGGCGTCAAAGCACTTGTCACCGCAGGTCAGGAGTTTCAGGCCGCTGAGTTCTTCTTCGAAGGGGAGCTGGTCGATTACGAAGCCGTTGAGCTTGAGGCATCTGGGTGATTGGTTAGTAGGGTTGGGGGATCGATGGTGAGGGGGGTACTACTGTAGGCGGAGAGGCTCTGTGTGGTTGATTTTGGCGGCGATGCGGGCTTTGCGCATGCAGAAGAAGTCGAGGTATTCGCCGGTGCCGAAGGAGTAGTGGAGGATGCCTTTGCCGTCGATGCCTCTGTGGGTTGTCAGTGTGAGGAGTGGGTGGGTGGCTGGTGATGTAGGGTAGTGACGTGCTTGTAGTCCTTGTCTCCAGTCTTGCAGTGCGCGACGGTCAGGCCAGCGACGTCTTCTGCCTTGTGCCAGTGCTCGGAGCGCACGATGGGAGGGTCGGCCATGTTGATATCGAGTAGTCGCATGCCATTCTCGTTGCTGTTGCGGTATACTGTCTCCCAGATGACAGGCTGGTACGAGTACGAGTCGTCTTTCATGTGGAAGAGACGGAGCTCCTTGAGCTTGGTCTGCTGGACCAGAGGCTTCAACTCGTCGCTGGTGATGAAGGACTCGTGGGCGGAAAAGCCGTTTACTATCAGTCGAACAGGATAACCGAGATCGATGATAATCTTGGTCATGGAGGTGTTCAGACCTTCCCAGACGTGCGCGGTGAAGGCGAGGCTCGCCAGCCAGCTGTATGATGTGAGAAAGTAACTTCAGGAAAAAGACTGCAGAACTTACATTAGCTCTTCAATATTGGGCATGGCTGCGGCAAGCCTCGCGATATTCTTGCCAGCCAAATGCCATTCCTCTTCCTGTTTGGTGAAGACGTGAGGCTTCCGTAGAGTCAGTATCTATCCCTGAGTTTCTTTCCTTTTATCAGAAGTGCTCACTTCACCCTCATGATACTTTGGATATTCTCCAAATCCCCCCCAATTTTCCTTGGAGGGGGTCAAGCGCCACGCTCCGAGGATGTATAGCGATCGGAATTTCTTCAAATTGTCGGGCCTGCTGAGGAGATTATCTACAAGGTCGAGCAGGTGTTGCTGAGACTTGACCTCTAGTCCATGCTCGTTGCGACCAACATCCACGACCAAGGCGTCCTCTTTTTTGCAGTTGGCCATTACCTCTGTCAACATGTCGAAAGGTTTCAAGTCTGCTATGTTGGCCATAGCTACTGCTGTTGGTTTTTTTGATACGTTGGTGTGTCCTGATGATCTGAAAGACTCGTGAGCAGCGTCGAGATTGGCGATCAAAATTTGGTGTTCAGTGTTAGATATTTGAAAGATAACAGGTCAAAGTTGGTTGGAGCTTGTGTGATCATTATATAGGAAAGTACGTGAGGTAAAGGTGAGTGGTGCAAACGCAAACGCGCCAGTTGCACGACCGTGCGCAAGATGATCACCTGTATTTGGAAGTGGACTAAAAATTCGAAGTGTGAAAATTGCGGTGGATGAACTGTACGATGAAACGCTCTGTTGCCTGAAGGCGGTCGATTCAAGGTTGCACATGGTTGGTCGGTGCGGCCATTGCAATCTGTAGACGAGGAATAAGGACTCCATCGTCGATGTGGAAAAAGAAAGCCTCATCAACATGAGTGAAATACGGTATGATAGTACTGGAGACCTGAATTGACCGCCTACGTGAGCAACAAACAAAAGATGAGCCTGATCACTATGATGGCGCTGTGAGTGGCCGCACTGAGTCTCTCACTTGGAGCCACGCAGATTCGATGGCCACGAGCATAATTAGACGTGTCAGAGAGAATTGATGGATATCACCATTTTCAGCTCTCGTGTTCTCTCACTACCCTTTACTGACGAGTTTGAAGACCTTTGCCCGAGCTGACTGGATAGAAGATTGGGTTGGGGGTCCGGGCGGATTGTGTGGTTTGGACTTTGAAGTCAACAGTAAGAGATATTCGAGATCTTTCGTTGATTTGGGCTAACTTATACTCGAAATCTAACTATCAGCAGTCGAGGCGGCTTCATGGAGTCATATTGGCCAGGGCAAGGAACGTACGGTACTCGTTTGTCCAACACCAGGGGTGATGGGATAAGAACTCCTGGTTTGCATAATGGATAGGGCAAACGAAGCTCTCTACGCGATCCATGCTTACAGCACCTGTAAAGGTCATCAATTAGAGAATTCACATGTCGTATGAAAGAGGTCATCTGTACTACCCTATCGAGTCGATCTGGCTGGAGGAGAGTGACTAAGCAGAGTGAGTACCCAAGTGGCCGATAATCGGAACACCAAAGCTGTGCTACCATGAACACAATCGTGCCGACTATAATGAGAATCACATCTTGCTGACTGTAATGTGAACCAAATCGTGCGCATTCTCTCTCCTTATGCTTTCAGCTGCTCCGCTGTCGCAGCTACGGCTTTATTGTCGGCCCACTCGCAGCCATAACAAGCTGTTGTCAGCGCGCTCTTATATCCGCAGGACATCCCGTGGATCTTTTGAGCAATCCACTCTTTACTTCGAGACTTTAATCGCCCTATCTAACAAGTGGCAGTATACAAGAATCTGCGAGAAGCTTGCACATTGATTGGACAGATATTCCACCTCATTCGCCATGTCGACGACCTATTTCCACGGCCATCATGCGTCAGTCCTTCGTTCGCATAGTTGGAGAACCGTCGAGAACTCTTGTCCCCATCTTCTCCCCCACCTTCACGACCCCTCTGCCACAATCCTAGATGTCGGGTGTGGGCCTGGAACCATCAGTGTGGACCTCGCCTCACGCGTACCGCAAGGCTTCGTATACGCCATCGACCCCTCGGCCGACGTCATTGAAAAAGCAAGGAAGCATGCAGAGGATATCGGTGTAAAAAACGTGCGCTTCGAAGTCGGAGACATATTCACTTGGGATCAGCTTGATGGTGTCAAGGAGGCTGGCTTTGATATTGTGCACGCGCACCAAGTGCTACAGCACCTTCAAGACCCTCTAGGCGCGATGAAAGAGATGAAGCAGCTCGTAAAGCCTGGTGGTGTGCTTGCAGTGCGCGACTGCAACTACTCGGCCATGGATTGGTACCCCGAACTACCAGGCCTGCAGAAGTGGAAGGACATGTACATTAAGATTGCGCATGGACTGAAAGCCTATCCCAACATGGGGAAGACTTTGCACGCTGTGGCTTTGCAGGCAGGCTTTCCTAGGAGTGATATCGATGCCAGCGTTGCAGCCTGGACTTTTAGCACACCAGAGGAGAGGGCATTCTGGTGTGATCTTTGGGCTGAGCGTACGATCAAGAGTGACTTCAAGAAAAGGGCCTTGGACGGTGGATACGCTACGGAGCAAGATTTGGAAGACATCGCAGCGACTTGGCGAGAATTGGAGAAGAAGGAGGATGGCTGGTTTGCTGTCATCAACGGTCAAATCATTTGCCATGTCAGGTAGGATCTTACAAGCAATCTGAAACTTGCATGGTAGTACTGCTCAGCAGCTCGTCGGCTGTTCTTCCTTTTTATCGTAGTTTCCCATCACAGCCTTCCCAGGCCTCTCGCTCATTGCACAGCACACCCTCTCCTACGATATCTATTCACCTTACCCAATGGTAGCAGCCAGCGCATCTACCGCGGCCCAGTCATCTGACGATGCGTGCATTAGCTGCCTAGCTTGACTATAATAACCCCACCCAACTTACCCCTCATCCATACAACCTCTCGCAACCTTTGAATCAACAATCAGAACTCAAGCCGAAATATCATTAAACGAACAAGATGCAATCAACTACCGTCCTTGTCGACTACCACAACTCATGTCCCAAATGCGGCGCTGGTATTAGCGGAGACTCCAAGAACTGTGGCTCTTGTGGCAGCGTGAGTAATACAAAGACGCCTCACTACGATACGTGTCTGACTATGATATAGTCTTGCCCTGTCTAAAATTTGATTAGATCGCGTGCTCAATGCGCTATTCAAGAGGGGGAATTCGACATTCAAACATGCTACAATCATGCGATAGGAATGAGAGACTGACAAGTCATGACAGCCACGCTGGAGGTTCCGACAATGATGGAGTGACTGGCAGATTGAACCCATTCTACACTTAACTTTACTGCTTATTCCTTCCTCTTCTCTCGTTGTTCATGTATCGCTTACACTGTGCTACTGGTGGTGCTGCTTACTACACATATGTGATTACTATAATCGCCCCAACTAGAACGCGTGGTTACCTATCCCAGGCGCCAAGTCCCATACGAAGCCTTCATGCACACCTCGTACATTCTGGAAGTAAACCACTCGCTGGATGGAAAGATAAGCCCGGTTCTGGAGGGTTCGGGGCCTTGAAATAGTCAAGAGGGCACTGACCGTGGACACACTATCTTTGTGCATGTTAGACATGCGCTACCGTTCCGGTGTTGATGAGTGTTTCGTAATGCGTTGTACGTGATGAATCCGGAGAGCTATGAGCGGCTGCTGATGAGGTACAGGGTAGTGGTGGTGTCATGTGTGCTCCGCATGAATAATGCATCATGTGTTGCAGTTCCGAATGGACGCTCAATGTGACGACCAGAGAGCAGAGAGGAGACTTCGTCAAAGCAAAACACGGCTGGAATTCATAAGTGCATCTTCATGATTTTCATGATACGTAGACTTGGGTATAGAACTGGACGGTAAATTCACAACGATTACACCCAAGACAGGAGCGTCGACTCTTGCCCACATCACCTTCAATTCAACATCCAAAAGTCATTTCCACACGCCGCATTCTCATTACCACAGCGCCCATTTTCTCCCCCTAGTCATCTCCAAACTTCTCAATCCATTCCCCAACTTTTCCTTCTGCACACCTAATACCCTTTTCTCGCCCTCAAAAACAGCAACACTCCACTAACAAGCAGCACCACCGCAGTCAAAAATAAAAACACAGTGTCAGCCTGTGCCTCCCTACAATGAGACAAAATGACATCTTCTGCCTTCTTCACATTCTTCTGGTGCTGGTATTCGACCCAGGTAACCTTATCTCTCGTACCGCCATTCAACAATTCATTCTCCACGAGTGCGACAGCATTACGCGCTGAGTCATTAATCTCACACTTTACGCCGTCGAGTTTAACCGCGAGGATCTATTCAGTTCGAGTTAGCCCAACCATTCATCATCGCTCGTCCAAAATTCCCATAGACAGGAACAATTGGCAAAGTAGAGGGAATAGCCTCTTACAATTCCCCCCAGGATATTAAAAACAGCAACCACCCCATCAATAATCATTCCAACCATTCCCTCCAAAAAGGAGAAAAATGACCCAGCGAGTCCAATCAGCGCGGCGATGAATGCCAGGCCACCTGCGAAACACGCGAATCCGAGTTGCCAGGGCAGACTGCCCCAATGGTGGCCGCGGATCAGCGTGACGCTGAGTCCGATAACGACGATGGCAAAGAGCGCTTGGAAGGCGCGAAGCACGAAATTTGCTATACCTGAGAGCATGGTGGCGGATTGTATAAAGGTGTGGTGTGGACAGGCGAAAGGGGATGCGATGAGGATGTGATATTTAAGCCAACGTCGTCCTACGTCGCAGCTGATTCAAAATTCACCAAAAAGAAAAAAAATGTACTTTTTGACTCTCACGTAAATTATCCCAAAGGAAATAAAACTCAAGATCACGACTGAAAACTAAATGAGTCCATATCCTCCTTCTATACCCGTCGTCGCCCCCAATGCCTACACCTCTCCAATTTAGCCTCCCAAGGCCCCCAATGTGGGAGGCTACCAGTGACTAGGTATCACCATCTCACCACTGTAAATCGTACCAGTTCCATCTCACACAGCGTCTCACGGATCAAGCTTCCAGCCTCGTCAGGCGGACACAGCCTTGTCCACGCACCACACAGTACAAGCATCATGCCATGCTAGACCTTCGCAATTACCCGAATGCAGATTTTCGCAACGGGAGCTGGTTGCCTGGAAGGGCATGGGATGCCTTACCCATTCGCTCAGGGCTTGTGGCCAATGAGAGAGCGACGGGTGGATGTGATGAATGTTGAATTTGTTGAAGGGTGAAAGATTTGCAGAATTGGTACGCTATTGAGTTCCGGTGAGTTGAGACGAAGATATCGTCATTTTTATGGTGGAGACGTGGGCTAGCCTTATTGATGCTGCGAGTTGGCAAGGCCCACAGCGCAGATGTGCGCTAGGTAACGTTAGATAGAGTTGACATCTTTGTATTTTGCATCCCAATACTTCAACCTTGTGGCACACTGGCACTATTATGGGGCTGAGTCACACCCCGTTCCTTCTATATGAATTACCCGGACGTATCGATCATCATTGTGGCAGGTGGAAAAACGCCCATTGAAACATCCGTGGCTGACACGTATTCTCGTATTGAGCAACACAAAACAACTGTGATATGAGGACGCCGTTTTCCTGTATGTCTACGCGCTCATAGCAAGCGCGCGCCTTGTTCCATTGTCCTATCTACTCCAAATATACCGGGATCCCATACACGACCGCAGCAGCACCATTCAAGTATCGTAGGACGCAAACTTGTCTGGCGTCTCTGACAGCTTCATCTAAGCCTGTACCTCTGCGTCGATCGCAGTCGACTTGCATTTCAGTACCATCCGTAGTTTTGGCATTCCTGCCTTTCTTTGCACTCTTCGTAGGTTCAATCTCCCGTGCGAGCTGCGCCACTCTCCCTTTGCCCTTGGCCGTCTTCTTTCCAGGCGTCTTCGCAGGTGTTTTGCGGACAACAATATCTTCTTGTGGCTCAGGCCACAGCCCCCAGAGCTCTCCAGCCTTAACAGCGAAGCGATCGCAGTCCTTGTCCGTGACATCCCATAACATGCCAACCACTGCAGGTGCACCAGCAGTGAGATAGGATGCTAGCATCCCGGAAGGTTCATATATACCGTTCTCCGTGAGGTGCACAGACGAACACCCGAAGAGTAAGGTGGTAGCACATCCGGGCCGCGCATTTGCATTATCTTGCTCACCAGGGTACAATCGGCGCACAGACTTTGACTTGATGTATTGTGCACCGCTTCCGTGACCAAAATATAGTACAAGGTCTTTGTCGCGGAGAGACGATTCAAACTCCCTCTCGGTAGGTGGACGATTAGCGATGTGATTCCAGGATCCTTGAAGCTCTTCGAGTCGCGGCTTGATGGTTTTCGTGGTATGTGCTAGATCACCAGATGGATTCAAAATGCTCGTGCCTTCTGAAGTCGCGCGTATATAGTGTCCTGGAGCGGCATGCTCATTGGTGCGTGAAGATCTCGCGACAAGCAACCGCTCGCGAAGGGCAGCCAGTGACGGAAGTCGAGATATGGATAGCTGTTCCAGGCAAGGTAATGACTCCCAGGGAAACCCATGTAAATTCTTGTCCAGTATGAGAACTGTGTGGCGGGCGGTATTCTTCGTCTTATGAGCAGCGCTGTGATACGCGCGCAGTGCTTCATGGGTCTCTACAACCATGGCATCAAAGTCAATTTCGTCATACGCATTGCGCTCGCCGTTGAACTGAAGAATGTCGACGACAAAGTAGATGAGATCAATGAGCGCTTCATCGAGATCAAGCTCATCATTGGTAGCGTCACCAAGGCCGATGAACAGTTCGAGAACTCGTGCATCGAGTACGGGCCGCTTTTGCTGACTCTTCTTGCTGCGCGATGGCAAGTGTTTGTCCAAGATGCCTTCCAGTGATTTCCTAAATCGTGCGAGGAGCGATGTTTGCCTTTCGTGTTGCGAAAAGACACCTTTGAATCCACCCAACCAAATATTTTCCATGTTGACGAGCAGCTCATGCAGTCTGGTGTCCAGTGCTTCACGTTCAGTCCACCATTGTTGCCGGGCTTCCCTAGAAGTCATGTCTTTCGCGGTGCGTGTACTGAAGTCGCTCAACTCGATTATCTCATCGAAATCTCTCTTGCCGTCTTCGAAAGAGAACTCTTCTTCGTCCATCTCCCGGGATGCGTGACGGGCAAGCGGTAAACGAAGAACAAAGGGCGACATGCCACTTTCAAATCTGGTAATGTACAACTCATCTCGACTCTCGTTCAGCCCCAAAGAGATTGCGGTCCAAGTCTCCGGTATAATGTCAACGTACTCCTTCTGGAAATCCGGTACAGAAGAGAGTGCGAAGTGTGAAGTGACTGAATCTGGCCATTGCAGGCAATCTTCCCTTGACAATTGTACTTTCTCGGCATCGACCACGTTCTGCACCAGCCGTAGTGAGTTACATTTGGGGATTTCTATGTCTTGTTAGTGTCACCAATCGCCAGAGCTCTCCTGCATGCTTACCACTCATGTATGCTGCATACAACGGGTGCAGTGAACCGTGCAACTCAGTTAGCGAGACTGCCGACATCAAGACCGTGATGTGACCCAGCGCCATCGAAATTTGTTGAAACAGATGATTTGATCCATTGGAGGCGCACAGTCCATGCGCTTCAATCAGACGATCGCGGGCATCCCGTAGTGTGTCGATAAAGTTGCCTTTGGCTTGCTTCTTTGCTCGTGCGCCTTTAGCCACGGTAGATGCGGTGGCGGCCGGTCTTTTCGTACCAACACCATCAGATGGTCTGCGATCTTTCATACCAATGGCTGGGAGCGCGATAGTTGACTCAGGCAAGGTGTTGGCAGTGATATCCTCCGCGATTTGTTGTACGCTCTGAGCGAACCTTGTCTTGAAAGTGGCCCACATGTGAGAGATCTCTTGGCCTATAGCGGCCTGAAGCTCTTCGGCCTCTCCAAGTAGACGCATAGCAGTGCTCAAATCGTCTTCGAGGATGCTCGCAAGCACTTTTCTATCCAATATACTGGCCTTGAGGACGCACAACGTGTGACATTGCTCAGCTATATTTGATGCCTTCAATGGTGTCGTCGCAGCAACAGGGCGTCTTGATTTCACAGGAGCCTTCGCCAGAGCTGCTTTAGCTGCTTTCGTACGTGTGGCTGGGGCAGACTTTGATGCAGCACGGGGCGCGGGTTTTGTGGCTATTTTGCGACCTCTTGTCGCCGCAGCCGATGTTGCGCGAGACGGTCCTGGCGCGTCAAGAGTAATTTCACCGATCTGCTCTGCAAGCGCGTCAATTGAAGGTGAAAAGCTCTCTAAAGTGCTGATATGCGATGGCGCAGTAAGCTCATTGAGGAGTCGCTCGAGGGCTTCATAAGACGCAATCTCTTCTTGATATTCTCCGCCGCAGTGATGAACCCGGGCTAAAGCAGAGTGATAGCCTGCGGTTGACAAGCAATTGCGCGTCGACATGGAGTCGAACGCAGCAAGGATTGCTTCGGCCTTATCGTGTCTACCGCTTTGAGCCCAGCAGTCCGCACGCCAGCTTGCATTATCAATCATTAGCGTTGGAGAGTTCGTCGCCGTTGCGACCTTTTCCGCTTGCTCTGCAACGTAGATTGCCTCTTGCAGCAGTCCGTGATGAGCATAGATCTGAGAGTGTTGCATCAATCCCCTATACAGCGAAGGAACTAGCGACCAAAATTCGGATCCGCTGAGGGCTTCGTGGGTGACAGACATAACAATTGGAACGCCTTGTTCACTACGCATCGAGCGTAGCGGGTCGAAGGTGCTATTATCCATGCCATGCATGTCAGTTCCAGAGGCTACCCCGGACACGTTCTTCTTTGTATTAGCCCGTGACTCCAGTGCCGCCCAGATGCGTCGAAGAAGTGTGACGCAATGCTTTGCATGCTGAGCAGCTTCTTTGTAGGACCCAGCAGCAGCCGCAAGTAGGGACTGTACGTAAGAAGCATTTGCCAGTATGGTATTGAAACGTACGCGACCAGATAGAGTTGTAGTGGATTTGGCTAGACCCATAAACTGGCTATCTGCGAGTGCAATAGACTGAGCCGTAGACATAGAGGCAGAACTGACATCATTAGTCTTGTCTACGGATTTATAGTTTAGACTTACCATTTGTCACTATTACCGATTGCAAGCAGATACTCAGCGTGTCCGATATACCAACCTAGCTTGGACTCAGTTGAAGCCTTTTCCATCAGGTGTTCAGCCTTGGCGAAAGACAGGCCAGCCTTCCCAGTGTACCCAAGACGGAGAAACTGTAAGGCTAGGTCACATAGAGCATTGACAAGGCCTGAAAAGTCTGAGCTTTGCTGCAAATTCAGCACTCGAATGCGCAGATGAAGAATTGGTAGCGCCAGGTACTCTTCACCTTTTGCGTTCAGATACTTGACACAGGCCTCAATGTCCTGTAGCCACTCCTCCACATTGTCGATTCGCTCCACCAAAGAATTATATGATGATGCTGTAGTTGCAATAGATTCCCACAAAGTGAAACATTGCTTTATCGTCGATGTGGGCGGTGGACCAGATTGCTGCATCGACGTCTTCAGATCCCAAAGTGCTTGTAGATGTTTCTCATAGCGCGCAAGCCCCTCGTCTTCAGAACCTACTGCTTGACCACTCTGACCTCCCAGAACTGGCGGTTCAATCTTTTGGAATGTTTGAGACAGCTCAAGGAGTAATATTGCCAGTCTAATGTGTCGAATCGGAAATCTCTTAGGGGTATACAGCTCCTGTAGCCGCTTCGCTAGGGTTACGATTGATTCGTCAAGTGCTGGGTCCCACTGTCGATTCCGAGAAAGCGTTCGCAAATAGGATCCCAGTTGCCATTCCAGCAAAGCGCCTCTGACTCCAGGCGGTAACTCACAGTCATCGTAAAAAGCCATTTCGTCAGTGTCCTGAATACCGAACTTGAGGAACAAACGGTGATGTGCCTTCAAGGCTCTGACAAGATTGCTCAGTGGCCCGTTGGCATCGAAAGCTGTTTGTAGCGGATACTTGGCGGTCAAGTCAGAGAGGGTCTGAATAGTAATTGTGCTGAGGTGAATCTTGATGCATTGTCCGAAAGCTTTCCGGGAGCCTTTGGCGTTGTTCAGGCTCTCCTGAGCTTCTCCCAGACGTTCTAGTTTTATTGGAAGATGGCCCGTATCTGCTCCTGTTGGTGACTGTGATTGAGCAATTGATATCGAGTGTTGCATAGCCTGTATGAAGTACTTGGCGTCGAAATCTGCCTTGCGTAACTGGATGTGTAGCGCCCAGTAAGCATTTGAAAGCTTCAGGGCGGATGCGGATATGAGCTTAGTAGATTCCGGATTAGAATCATCCCTGCGACCAAACTCTTCCTCAAACCGGTGCAAGAGATGACGACACTCTTGCAGAATCAGATCCAAATCTTGCCATTGCTCTTCCGTTGCCACAGTTTGCTTGCAGCAAACCAAGACAGAGTCGATGGTGCTCTTTAAAAATTTCCAAGCCAGGTCAATTCGTCCCTCGTACCGTTGCGTGGCTTTCGTATCAGCTTCAGAGTGAAGGCCTGAACCAATAAATCTAGATGTGAAATATATGCTTGCTCCCACGATTGAAACTGCCAACTCCCCGACCAAGCTGTGGGCGTTGTCTTCGTCTTGCGATGCCAGTTGGCTCATTAGTAGGCGTGTAGCTATACGTCTAAAAGCATTCACTTCCATAAACAGCGACTCAAGATCAGCTGTAGAACCACCTAAGCTGCCTGTTAAAGCATCTAGTGCGCTAGCGATCGGCTTCTGAACGTCAATTGTCTTATCACCTTTCACGTATGCTTCCAGAGAGACTGCTGCCACACGTACATGGCGTATAGCCTGTTTTACTGCAGATGCGTTGGAGTTTGGCGTCGATAGCTCTGCAGGTCCCAACCATCGAAGCGCCTCGTCCGGTAAACCAGCTGCTTGAGCCAGTGAGCAAAGAGTCTTTCCAAGTGCTGCATTGGGCCCTGTATGTGATGTATCCTGTGTGGACTGTTTCTTGAACAGATCGGTATACAAAGACTCTACCAGGCGATACTGTTTTATGGCTGGTATCTGAGATCTCCTCACAAATGCAGTCACGCATTTTGCAAAAGGCTCTAGAAGCTCGGCCTCTTCATTTCCCTTGTGATTTGCCAAGCCCCACCACTTCTTCTTAATCGCGAATGCCAGTTGCTGGAGTTGGAGCACGACTTCTGGGGACGGCTGCAATGGGCTTTTGTCATCGGCGCTTGATATGCTTGGGCATATAGAAAGTATTGTTTGGGCAAGAGACTCGAGCTGTCTTGCTGCCTTCATCTTTCCGGTCGGCATACTTGCTATAGTCTCAATCAAGTTGGCGGGTGATGTAGGATTCGTCCAGCGTAGGTGCTCCAGAGCAGCTTCAACAATGTGAGGCCTCCTAAGCTTCGCGATTATGCGTAACGTGTAGATTTGGAATGTGCCGATAAGTGCGATGGCTGGACTGTTTGGCTCAACTATCGCAAAGTCGAGAAGTGTTGCCAGGCTCTCCTTCTCTCCAGCTGCGTTTAATGGAGCACTTGCTTTTGGGACAGGCTTTTTAGCGCCATTTCCCAGATATGTATCCAATCTTCTCTTCAGTGTTCTCATTTCCTTGATAGCGAGCGTGTCCAATCCCAGCGCTACCAGCTTTCCAATTAGCACGAGCACGCCATTCTCATACTGCAGGTCCTTTGAATCCTTTCCCAACACCTTGGAAGCTTCCGGTGTGCCAAGATATCCAAATGCTATCCGAGCGCATTCGGCGGTCGCAATTAGGCCTGGGTCTGGCCCTGAGACGAGTATTGCAGAGAACGATGAGGACCGTCTGGGTGCGCGCTTCAGGGGCGAATTGTTGGCCTGGCTAACAGATCTTTCCTTCAGCGGTTTCTGTGATATCGAAGAAGTCTTCCTGTGCCCCGCTCGCGGTCTTGCCGGCTTCCGCGCATCTTCGATCAGAGGCTTTCCCTTCGAGGGCCGTATGACTTGGTGCAGGAGAGGGTTTTTCAGCGCATCGGCGAGGTTCTTCAGCGTAGCATTGGCAACCTCGGTTGCTAGTATATATTTCTCTCGCAGCTGAAGTGTGGTGGAAGACTGTTTCGGCGCATCCACAGACGCTGCATTGGTTGTAGTACCCGCTCTTCTTCGCGCTGTAGCCCTATCTCTTGATTTAAGGTTCCCCTTCTCTGTTACTACGTCATTTTTCCGAGAGAGCAGCTCCTGGAGTATATCTGCTGTCGTGGTCGAACACGTCGAGGTAGACCGTAAGTCTGCTTTGACGCTCTCGATGCGCGTGCGCGTCGTCGCGTCTTTGGTAGCCATTTATCCAGTTGTTGAATTGTGGATCGGTCGCGAAGTGATTCATAGGAGTAGATTATACATTACTAAGAAGACGAGCGCGCAGTTGAGCATAATGTTGTACGAGGCGTATGACGGTGGGTCGCGGTACCGCCACGGCCAAACAATCGAATAAGCATGTTACTGCATTAGGAATAGTGTGTAACTCAAGTGTCGACGCGTCCCTCTCTCTCACAACTTCAACGTGTAAGACAAACGCAGCTATGCTGGAACCTCGCTTTACTTTCACCCAACAGCATGCTCCAGGTGAGTATTGACAACAATAGTTCCGAGTCAAATTTTCTGCAATGGAATCGCCATCCAGTCTCCAGCAGTCCTTGCTGTCACAACTTGCCACCCATATGTTTCGATTGTATCAATTGTTGGTTGCCAATCGCCCACATTTGACTCTGAATTCTGGTTCTGTTCTTTGGTGTCCATGAGCTTGCTGTTCGCTGCCAAGTGCAGTAAGATCGCCACCTTGGCGATTTGCGATGAAGTAGTAGCCAGATGAGCTACCTGTCAAGTACCATTGCTAGAGAGACTCATAACGTCTGTGTGCAGAGTATTAATTCTTTGTTGCAAGACTGAGGTATCGTGAAACAGACTAACTCGTAACTTATGATTGTTCTTGGGATGTTCTCGTAATGCAAGTACATCGGTATGTTGCCCTGAAGTGCAGCACTAATGTTATAGTATCCAGAGAACTGCGCATAGGAAGAAATCAGTGCTAGGAAGAGAGCAAGGCTACTGTAAAGATACATGTTGATTGGTCTGTAGTTGACTCGATTTAGATTGGATGAGATGTTGTTTGTAAGCCATTGTCGTCGCCATGTGGAAGACTATATCCAATCGTAGGTTCTGGAGCAGTGGTCGCTGATGCTCTCGCACACCTTTTAAGACGTTGTTAACCGCGAGGGATGGATCTGGAGAGATACCGGTATACCAACCCTTTGCAGGTCTACCTTCTCCGCCTCAAAGGTGGTGCACATATCAATTCTCCACTCACACTTCATCTAGAAGCATTGAAGAGCAACTCGAGCTCTAGTCGGCAGGGTGTGTTAACTCGCAGAAGAAGTAGTTTAGCTACACATCTGATACGAACTTACCACATGGCTCTGCATGTAAGCTGCTCTCAGAGAAGACAGTACTGATGCTACTGTGTAGAATATCCGTGCCAGCTAAGAACCGGTGGTACGAATTTGTTGGCATACGATCATGTTCACAAGCTGCCTGCTGTCTTCTCTGCAAGACTATGCGCTCTCCCTGTTCCGGCAATGCAAGGTCAAATGCTAGGACCAGAAGGTACGTCGATCCATCTAATATCTTGAATCATGTAGTGTAGCAGGATGCAGCATTGTATGCCAACTTCACTTGACATAGCGCGCACGAGAAGGAAGAAAGGTCAGACTTGCTATCATACATACACATCTCCAAGAAAGATTCCACTGAACTTCCGCAAACGACACACTCTAGGGCACATGGATTGACCTGAGAGCGCGCTCACCCAATCCGAAGGATCGAGACCACAAGAAAAATGTCACACAACATGCAAGGGTAAAGGTCCAACACACACACCCCAATGCACAGACCGGGTCTCCAACAAGGTCAAACGTGCAAAGTCATCGCGCCTAACCATCCTTGCATATAAGTAGAAATGATATCCAACCGACCAATAGACAAGAAGCAAAAATCCGTCCATGTGAATAATCCGCATAAACGCCCAGGCAGGACATGTAGGGACGCCGTGAAACTGCATAAACCCTCAAAAAAAGGTGCCTGTGCCAGCGGTCTACATATACCCGTAAGCGAGATATCACAAAACATCGATACGAGAAAGTGAGGCAATGCCATTGTTTTGAGAAGGGATAGCGAAGAAGAAACTGGACTTCTGCATAAATATGACGTCCGATCAGCTTGGAGCAAGGTATGTTGAATGCAACGTGCCGTAGTTCAGGGGTTGCAGATCAAGACGATGTCAACGATTGAACGAGCTATGTGCCTCGCTGATTCTACTATGTTGGGATTTGCTTAATTACAGCTGAAAGACTATCGCGTGGTAGATTGTTTGTCGAATCTGAGTATCTTGTCTGCTTCGTGCTCCGTTGACTTCATGGGAGGTAGTAAGTGTTGTTTCTTTATCACCCATAGTGCTTACCTTATACCAAGGTGGTGACTGCCCACCACCAATGGTGGAGACTCCCCTGTCCGGGTTGTCTGGGAGACACCTATTTGGGACTAGTAGGGATATCTATATCTAGCCACCTTGGCTTTTCGTCCATAGATTCTTTAATTAATACTTTTCATTATATTAGGTTATAAGCCTAGGCTCTCTACTAGTATTTAGTAACACTATCTTACTCCTTTACCTTTATAGCCCTTTATTATAGCTTTTCTAATTATTATCTTACTTCTATTATATTATAAGCTAAACATCTATTACTATTATAGCTTCTATTTAGAACCTATTTAGCTTATCCCTATACTACTCTAGCTCTTTAGAGACTAATTTACTAGAGGTTATACCTATCCTATACCCTAACCTTCTATTAACTATAGCTCTCCCTCTATTACTACCTCTATTACTAGTTATAGTATCCTTAAAACTAGTATTTAACTTTAGACTAGACCCTTCCTTACTCCCTAAATTAGGTTCTTAGGGAGAGAACTATCTAGAATAGAGGTTAGCCTAGACTATAGCCTTTAGGTACGCAGGTATTTAGCTAGTTCTATTAGGGAAGAAGCCTAGGCCTTTACTTCCTCTTAAAGCTAAAGACTAGGATAAACAAGATAATAAAGCTCTTATTATGCTTCTCTTGTTAGTATATAATAACCTTACTATAAGCGTAGCCTCTTATAATACTTCCCTAGAAGCCTAGAAGTATCTTATAAATAGGTTTAATAGGGACATAGGTAATACCTTAATCTTACTATTTTAGTTACTAATAAACCTTTACTACTATAATAGAGATAACCTAAGAATCTACCTTAACAAATTTTATTAAAGATAGACGTGTATATCTAAACGCTGTGCAATATCTATATAACCTATAGCTATAGTAATACGTGCTATATTTAACTCTAACTAGGTTAAGGGTTCCTTCTTCCTAGCTATATTACCTAAAACTATAGATAATATTATTAATAATCTATCTACTAGGAATATTACTACCTTCTAAGATATTAAACCTAAGATCCTTAATATCTTAGAAAAGCACTCCTTAGATATTATAGATTCCTCTGCTACTTACGTAGCAAGATAGATAGCTTCTAGAAAACCTATATCTACTAAACTACTAAATAGTATTCTAGAATATATATAGTATTATAAGCATAACCTGCTATTTATTAGCTACCTCTACCCTACCTATTATACTCTTAAAAAGTATAAGGAGAGTTAAGTAAAGGGGGACGCACCTATAAATTCTAAGAAGTAGAAGGTAAATAATACTGCTGCTATTAAACCCCCTAGTAAAGCTAAAGAATCTAATAGCTCTATTATAGTTATTAGTTACTCTACCTATGCCTATATAGACCTAATAGCTTTACTACTACTATTATACCTACTACTAAATTTAAATAGTAAACGCTTAAGACTAGTAAGTATATACGCTACTATACACTAACCTATAGTAGTTAACCTACTATAATAGCTCTTTAATACTAGTGCCTCTAAGTATATATCTAGCTACGCTAATAACTTTGTATTCTTAACTAAGAAGTTAGGCACTATTACTATAGCTAGTAGTATTAAGCTCCCTATTTAAGGAAGTAGCACTATTTAACTTTGCTATATTTTGCTAGATAGCTTAACTACTATTATAGAACTAATAGACACTATCTATAGCGCTAAACTATATAGTACCTAATTATTCTTATAGTCTTATATCTAATATAAAGGATTTAAGCTCTTTAGTAAATATAATAACCTATTCCTCTTTAGAAATAGCTACTATATATTATAGGCACAATATATTAATAGCATTATACAAATCTAAACTAAACACCTATCCTTACCTTCTATATTTACGCTTATAAGCTTGTACCTACTAATTAACTAAATAATAATAGCGAAGGCGATAGTAGTAGCAATAAAGGCAAAGGATACACACAATAGTTTTAAGATATACTAATAATTTTATAAAGTAATAGGACACTTATCTATGCTAAACCTAACACGTATTTATATAGATAGGTATTTAGTACTAGCAAAACTAGATAATTTTAAATACACTATATATTAACAATTAAAATCTGTGCACTATATCCTAATATTAGGATTACTAAGGCATACCTAACCTCTTAAACTTATTTACTTAGACCTCTCTAGAAAGATGCCTATAAGAAGTATTAGTAGTGCCTAGTACTACATCTTATTTATTAATAATACTATATAGTATTTATAGATTTAGTTTCTTAAACTTAAGGCTAATACACTATAAGCTATTAAGGATTTTATCGCCTATACTAATACCTAATTTAAAACTAAGAGAGCTCTTATAGGCCTAAATATCCTTATATATTCTATTATTAAGATATTTAAATCTAATAATAGTAGAGAATATATTAGCTATAATCTCTAAAAGTTCTTTATAGCAAATAGTATTACTTATAAACTAGTACTACTATACTATTATAAGATAAATAGTATACTAGAATAGTTTAACTAAACCCTATTTTAAATTATATAATGCATAATCTCTTCTAATAATATACTTTTCCTCTAGGTAGAAGCTATAAAGTTAGTAAACTTCCTTAAGAATATAGCGCTATATTCTACTAATCCTCTGCGTTACATACTATATAAATAGCTCTTTAGGAAGAAGCTATCTATTTAATAACTCTAGCCCTTTAGCATCCTAGGATATATTTATATTCCTGTAGAAGCTAGAAAGGCAGGCACTAAACTCCTACACTGCTTAGAATAAGGTATATTTATTAGCTATAGCTATAGTACCTAGATAAGTTGTCTCTATATACCACAACAACATGTTATTGTTTAATCCTAAGATGTTACATTTGCTACACCTATTCTACAAATTTTTAGGCCTATTTAGGAACACAGAATAGATCCTGCGCTAGGATATCCTATAAATAACCAAAATATCGACGCATAAAGACCTAGGGAATTAGTTACTACTCTCCTACCTATTAAAGTTTATAATAATGCTAAGCTAGGGGATATTATAGACTAGCCTTAAGGGAGAATACAATAAGCGTTGATAATAGTATTTAGTATCTTAAAGGAGAGATAAGCCCTCTACGCCTTTTTATAGGTGTCTAGTATATTTGCTTAGTAGTAGTGTTAGACTTAGTCTATCTTATATTAGACCTAGGCTTAGGTATAAGCCTAAGTCCTTTATATACCCCTAACCTTCCCCTATAAACTATTGTGAAATTGTCTTTCTAGGGGTCTAGGGTTATATCTTTATCCTCTATAATCTATATTAGGCTTTATTACTATATTTTTTAGTTTTATTATTATATCTTTATATTCCTTCCTAATTTATAATAGGCCTGTATATTAAGTAGTACGCGCGCGTAGCGTCTATACGCTTATTTTAGCACCCTACTATAAAAGTTCTAATATAGCTATCCTACCCTACTATAAATTTCCTAAACTTACTTTATTATATAATAGATTTCCCCTACTAATTAGCCCTCTCTCTACTCTTTTTCTATTAATCCTGCCTATCTAGCCCCTATTATATCCTTATCTACTACTACTAGTGCTAGTAGTAGGGATCTACTATAAGGTAGTTAGACCCTACGCTAGGCCTACTAAGATAAGGTGCGTACTTCTAATATTCTCCCTATATTTCCTACACTAACTTTTTATTTAGCATATATCTCCCTAAACCTAGTTACTTAGTAGCTTTATTATTTCTAGTAACTTAGATAATAAGGAATATAATAGTAGCTTTATAAAGCTACTTCCCTATAATTAGTATATTAACTAGCTTTATCTCTTTAGTAAGTATAACTATTAGGAAGGTAGTAGTAAGTTCCCCTTAATTTTTATTTTCTCTATAGCAAGTTCTAACTATATCTAGGGCGCTTGTGCAAGTCCTACTATTATAGCCACAAGACCTATACTTAATTAGAAGCTATCCTTACTAATAACCCTAACGTTTGCTAAGCCCTTTGCAACTAGCTTTAGTTTTATTATAGTTACTAGGAGGATTGCCTCTATATTATAAAGAAGGGGACCCTTAGCACTTTTATAGGGAAACCTACTAAAGGCACCTATTACTAGTTTATACTATAGTTCTACTAGCTCTACTATTATTTTAAGGATCTTATATTAAGGGCTTAAACTAATAACACTATTACTCTACTTACCCCTACTACCTACTTGCGCGCCTATAATTAGTATTAGCTTAGTGCTATTATTCTATCTACTACTAGTGCTCTAGTATTTCTACTTTAGTCTACTATTACGCCTTTATATAGTAGTTATAGTAATAATAATATTATATAGCTTGCTACTACTACTAGTGTTACCTCCTAGTGTATTAACTAGCGTATAAATAAGACCTAGGCCTAAACTAACCTTTATATTAATAAGCTTAAGAGCGCTACTAAGCGCACTACCTAAGGTATTAAGACTCTTATTATTAGTATTAGTTTTCCCTTATTCCCTTTATATTTATTCTAAAATTTATTTTCTTTAGGCCTAGGGTGCTATGCGTTAGTAAGCTATTAAAGCACTACCCTCCTCCTAACGCTACTACTACTACTACTTATACTTGTTAACTAAGTTGTCCCCTACCTATACTATGTGTAAGCGTTACTACTATTACTAAGAGATATAGAGGTGTTAGAATAATATAAATAATAGTT